GGAATGGGGAGGGGGAAGAGGGGAGGGGACGAAAGGGGAGGGGAGGGGGTAGGAAGATCGGAGAGGGGAGGGGGAGGAGAGGGGAGGGGAGGGTGTGATCCATTATGCGTGAAATATCAAATACATTTGAGGATCACAAAGGAAAAACAAGTTCAGTCCGATTTTTAGGTTCAGAGAAAATCAGATTTTAAAAAAATTTCAAAGCAATCTGAACTTTAATTTTTTTTTTCTATGGTTCCCTCATTCAAAAGGTCTCTTCTTAAAGACTGAGTCTGCTTTTCTGTTCGACAATTTTGAGAGAAAACGACCAAATCTGGGACATGGATGCAATATGAAAGGCTATTCAAAATTCATAGCAACGAGCCAACAAGATAAATTATCCACCATCCTGGGTAAGGAGGCTATTAGAAAGACTATTCACAATCTGACCTACAGAAGTAAAAAGGTCGACCAGCATACTACCATACTGCACATACCTTGACAGACCTCACAGCAAAGCCCCTCAACTCTCTTGACCTGAGCACATGGCAGGCGAGGACACACTTGCTCCTCGCATCGTACGTTTCCGTTCTGGGGGGGTGGAAAGAAACGACATAGACGGGTATACTGTGGTTAGTTGGCTTATTTCGGGAAAAGTAATCGAGTACCTATTTGAGATTGAAGAAGAGAACAGTGGCGGGCCGAGGCGTGAGCCACGAATTGTGGAAGACCTCGTGAGCGTTGAGTGGCAGTTGAGGGGCAAGAGCATTGTCACTGTCAGTGCACGTTGGTCAGCGTATGGTGCTAGATAAGGACAGTAGAGTAGGCTGTCGATGGACATCCTGCAGTAGGTGATTGCTACAAGAGGTGGGTGTTTATAGTTAAACTACATATACTCAACACTTTAAGACAAAGAAATAAAAGTGGGGAAAAAAGAGAAATGTACCATATGTACCCATTACTTGGTAACGCCTCAAAAAAACAAAAACACAACCCCCCCCCAAAAAAAAAACACAAAAAAAACCAAAACCCCCCCCCCCCCCCCCCCAAAAAAAAAACCCTATGAGAATTGCCGAATAGGTGGAAAAAAGTCGGATTCATCTGGTTCAATATTTTGACAAGTGCCTGATTTTACTGCAATGACGCACACATATGTATCTATATGTACGAGCAGCTGGGAAGGATTTACAGAAAGAATACGCTGGGCATTTGGGTAAGTTAATGTTAGCCTATTAACACTTTTCCATCACACAACCAGCAGTACAAAATACCCCATCTGGTCACCCAGCCAGGAAAGTGACTGCAACAGACTTCTTGAGCTCGTCACAGAACTGCATCAAGTGACCTGAACGGATAAATTTTCATTGTCTCATTATTGCGGCAAGTGACCACAAAGTGTTAAGAGTTAAGTACATTTTCTTATTTTCGAACCAACCTGGCATGTGCATGAGTGGCAAGGATCTGGTCTGAACCCGACTCCGTTCAGATACACATCGCCTTCAAAGAGACAGTCGTCGCAGGGAGGGCAGCACATATTATCTTGCCGCGGGTGAGTGCACGTCACCACACATTTGACTTCTTCACACTCCACTCTGCCCATCTAAAGGTAGCGGAAATGTTGTGTTATGAATGGAAGGATGGAAGGATGAGTGAGTGGATGGCTGGATGAATGGATGGATGGGTGGAAGGATGGATGGATGGATGGATGGATGGATGGATGGATGGATGGATGGATGAATGAATGAAGAACGAAAGAATGAATGAATGAAAGAATGAATGAATGAACTTTCAGTGTTCTCTTTCGATAAAGTTTACATGGATGGAAGGATGGATGGATGGATGGATGGATGAATGAATGAATGAATGAATGAATGAATGAATGAATGAATGAATGAATAAATGAATGAATGAATGAATGGATGAATGAATGAAAGAAAAAACCTTTAGTGTTCTCTGGCAATGTTCATGGGTTGACAACAAGTTCATCAGTGTATATTTTCTCTCTCTCTCTCTCTCTCTCTCTCTCTCTCTCTCTCTCTCTCTCTCTCTCTCTCTCTCTCTCTCTCTCTCTCTCTCTCTCTCTCACTTACACACACACAGGCACAAACACACACACTAAAACCCTCACAGCAAATTATATTTACTGATAGTCTCAATTCAGGCTGTCAAAATTCCTAAGATATAAAATTGTCATGCGTACATCAGAAGCTCTCCCTGCTTAAAAGTAAGACAAAAGTTTTCTGTACGTATAACAGCTAATTCAGCAGTCCCATCAAATAGACTACAAGGGAAGGCTGCGTTTACGACAGCACACGAGATAATCAAGACGGCAACAACTACACAACCTTGCAGGTACACGTCTGGCAATCATCGTTGGGATGTTCAAAGCGCTGGTTGTCTGTGTACCTTTGTCCCTGAAACTGACACACTGAGGAAAGATCAGACACAAGAATTTAAAAATAGCCAATACACAAGAAGGTGCTGCTGTGTTCACAAATAGGGAAAATTAAAACCCCGGTAAAAATTAACCCCCAGAAATACACAAAATTGACAAAAGTGCTTTTACATTGCTGCAATTAACATAAGGGGTAGGCCACGGAAAACATGGAGGAGATGAGAGGAAAGGGACATGAGAGAGATGAAGCTCACTTGGAACGAGCTTGGAAGGATGGCTCAGGACAGAGATAAATGGAAGGAATTTGTATGTGGCCTATACCCTGCCAGGGGTGAAAGGCATTGATGATGATGAACTGACAAAAAGGTGGATAACCAAAGAAAGGGGCTAAAATGCCAAGCAGCAACCTCTTAGTCCCTCTTTCAAGCTCATAACTAACATATTTCATTTTGTACAATCCAGTCACATATAATATTAACGAGAAAGGTCATTGTAATAAAAAATTAAATCTGGAGCAGCAACATGTTTCAGGAGTATAAAACAAAACTCTCTTCTTCCCAGTCACAGACTCTTTTTTCTTTCTTCATCCCAAACAACTTTTAGTACTTCATATAATACAGCACTCTCTAACAAAGAATGATAAAATTGTGGTCAGAACAATTCCACAACAACTGTAGATGACATTATCTCACGTGCACAAGTAGGACAGCATTCTCCGCTCACAGTCACGGGGTTCAGGCACGGCACGTCAGGACAGATCAGTGACTCGCACACCACAGAGCCACGCTGGGAGGGGAAGACAAAGAAATATAGTTTATGAGTTTATTATTACCTGGCATTTAGTTATCTATTCAATAAGAAAGGAAAAAAGAAACAAACAAACAAACAGTAAAAAAACAAACTAAGAAAGCATCAAAGAAACTAAGAAAAAATGAAAGAAAGAAAAGTTGTTTTACTGAATGACCGACATTGAGAAATTTTGTTTGCTAAAGTTTACTGCTCTACTAAATACAAAGATGTCTCTACTAAGCCAGAGCCCATGATGACTCAGATGCTTGAGCAATGACAAATTAAGAGAAAGAAAGGGGGTAAAAGTTGATACAGAAAATAAATTATTGTACAGGTCTTATCTAAATACAAAACTTGATTCCATGCTTCAAGGAGTAGCATCTCCTGCTGCTGCAGTGAGCTATCTATTAGACCTAACCTACTGGGGCCAACAAAAATCTGTTCTATGAAAACAACAGTACGTAGCACTGTAAATAACCTATGCCAATACAATGCCATAGCTGGTCACAGCAGAGCAGAGAAATGTTTTGGATCATGGTTTATGTGTATAAAAAATAACAATAAGCCGAACAAAAAGATCAATAAGCGAAACAAAAGAAGGATCATTTTGATTTCTGAAAACGCACAACTTTGAAACAAAAATTTTGAATATATTTTCTATTATCAGGTTTTTTTTTCAAAGCATTCTTAACAAAGGACATAAGAAGAAAATGAGTTAACAAGTTAAATGAACAATGTGATGAATGATGCAATCAAACAGACAACAGCATTATTCTATTAGTACCTGACAACTACCTTGCGAACAAAACTGAGAGAAAACAGTCTACTGTATAACATAGACTGGTACAGTAACAACTATAGTTGTCCTTACAGATAAAAACATCATGGGTCAAGATCAACTTTTGGAATGAGAGCGACAATCATTCAAAATGAAAAATAAAATTTAGGTAACAAGGCCAAATTAAACCAGCAATAACAATAATTGTAATAAGTAATGAAATCTAATTGAATATGAACCATACTCAATTTATCTCAAGTCAAAGACCCATGTTCAGTTACACGAGAAAGAAACTCAACAAAAATAACACATTGAATCATACAAGTTGAACCTATGCATATTCCCTGTTTTGTTTGTATTACCCACCATTATATATAAAAAAAGAATGCAAGTTTGACTTAAGAGAATAAAGTTAAAGTACAGGCAAGCAGATATTTAAGATAAATGAGGGAAACAAAAAAAATAAAATGCGTCTTTTCAGTAGACAGGACGACTTCTAAGAGTTTAACACTTTGCAGTCACACAGCCAGCAGTGCAAAATACCCCATCTGGTCAGCCAGCCAGGAGAGTGACTGCAACAGACTTTTCGGGCCTGGCTCAGAACTGTGCCAGGTGACCGGAACGGATAATTTTCACCATCGCAGTATTGCGCCAAGTGACCGCAAAGTGTTAAAAAATTCATCAAGGTACTTACCAAACATCTACATTTCTGGCAAGGGTCCACATCAGATACAAAACTTTGACCGTTGCCGATGACCCGACCCTCGTACAGGCAGCCCTCACAGAGCGGACAACACTCCCGGACCGACGCGGGGTGAGTGCACGTCTCCGTACACGGCTTGTTGCTACATGACACCGTGCCACCCTGCAACCAAACAAAGGTTTCTGTCAATACTAAAACCAAAAAAAAATTAATCAGTACGGACAGCAAGCTTAACCCTATCCGTTCGTCGTGTTTTACTATCGTATCGATACGACGTGGGGAACTCTGTGTCACCACTTTCCAAGGAGGAAATTTACTTGTTAATCCGATCCGTACGCTTTGCATAGCAGTCTGTCAAAATGATTTTTTGAGAAATACTGAGAGTTTCAAAGAGATCTTCGTACTAGAAGTATTCTAAAATGTGAAGAATATAGCCCTTGGGGTACAAAATGACCCCAGGGCGTATGGATAGGATTAACATTCAGATAGCAGGCTCAACTATTAAGTGGCTACCTCAGAATTACAAAGTTCTGTCTGATATCTTTTACCGTTTTGAGTTACTAAAACCATGAGGTCAGAAACCAAATGTTCTATCTGCTCTATCAAAACCGTAAGATTATTCGGAGTCATTATCAAGACATTCAAAGAATTGCCTTCAAAAATGCTTGATATGAATTGAAACTCAAAACTTTTGGCATTTAATTTCTCAAAACTAGGTGCTGAGCAGATAAAACTTTGTAATTCTGAGGTAGCGAAGTGTTTGATGAGCACGCTAGAGCAGTGTATAGTGCTCTTTCTACGTCTTTTCAGATTAGAGGTTGTCTTAATAGCTGTTTTACGCCGGACTTGCTGTCTGTCACAACTCAAATACTGCGGCAAATACGACAATGTCAATGGTTAGTACGGGAGCTCCAGCTGGTTATTATTATTACCCGTATTACTATCATTATCAGTATTGCTTTTATTATTTTCGTTATTATTATTATCATCCTTATCATTATTGTTAGGCCTATTATAATCATGACTAAAATAAGTAAATAAAAAAACCTACTGCTTGTAGGAAGCTGGAAAAAACTCATTTCAGGCAACCTTCAAATACTGGGAAAAAACTCATTTAAGGCTCCTTTCAAATACTGAATGAAGCAATTACAAGAAAATGAGATTTGGAAAAACATCCTGAAAATACAAACATTGATGATAATAATACTTGAGGCATTGTGGTGAAATCAGGCGCTCGTCAAAATAATGAAATCCCAGAAATCTGCATTTTTTAGCCAGTTTGGAATTTTATTTCTAATTTTTTTTTTGGGCTCAACACCTTGTGTGTCTTTTCAAAAACACTTTTACGAGTGGATTTGATTGGAGAAAGTTTAAAGGCACAGCAAATTTAAATTTGCTGTTTCCAAGGACTCTTAAGCTATGGAAGTCACCAAACTTCTGGGCCATTTTCTCGTTAATTTTACATTGTTTTACATCTGAAACCAGGCGACCCCACCTCCTTCAATGGCAAATATCTCAACTTCTATTCAAGATAAATGGATATTTTAAAAATCAAAAGCAAGGCATATGAACTACCTTTAAGATGACACCAATAACTCCATATGCCCAAAAATTGACAAGCGCCCGATTTCACTTCGTCATGACACATATATATTGATAAGTCTCACCCTGCAAAGACATTCCTGGCATTCGTTCTCCGCACTGGCAAATCTCTCTCCTTCCGCAACTTTCTTGCCCTGATACGTGCATGCGCTACAAGCTGGGCATCCACACTGGTCCGTGATTGGATGACTGCAGGAGGCAGGGCTGCATCGCTGCTTGATGCACGACACAGAACCGTACTGAAAAGTTGAAAGTGTTAATTTTAAACAATACACGAAAGGTTGAAAGTATTAATTGCAAACAATAAATGAAAGGTTGAAAGTATTAATTATAAATTTTATAATTATAAACAATGCATGAAATGTTCAGAGTATTAATTATAAACAATGCATGAAATGTTCAAAGTATTAATTATAAACAATGCATGAAATGTTCAGAGTATTAATTATAAACAATGCATGAAACGCTGAAAGTATTAATTATAAACAATACATGAAACGTTGAAAGTATTAATTACAAACAATACACGGAATGTTGTAAGTATAAATTATAACAAATAGTAACACAACCATCCTCCTCATCTGGCTCTGTAAAATCTATGTGTGTGGTAAAATGTGTCACGCTGGGGTGGAATCAGGCGCTCATCAATTTTTGGGCAGGTGAAGTTATTGGTATCATCTGAAAGCTTGTTCATTTACCTTGCTTTCTATGGAAAAAATACCCATCTATCTTCAATAGAAGTCGAGGTATTTGCCATTGAAGGAGGTGGGGGTAGCATGGTTTCAGAAGTAAAATTAGAGAGCAAATGGCTGTCAAAGTTTGGTAACCTCTATAGCTTGAGAGTCCTTGAAAACTGAAGATCTGCATATTTTGTGCCAGTAATAAATTTTTAAGCAGTAAATTTCACAGGAAAATGTTTTTATTCAAACATACATTGTGATGAGCCAAAAAAAACAAAAACTGCAGAACTGGAAGAAAAATGCCTGTTTCTCGATTTCATTATTTTGACGAGCGCCTGGTTTCACCACGATGCCTCACAAATGGTTAGGCTCTTCGACTTGCACAGAAAGAACCTGAGTTCAATTCCCAAGTGAGGGACAATATTTTATTGAGGATCTTCCGTCTTTCAGCTGGGAATCATCCCACTCAGTCTAGGTTGGCTGTGATGTGAAAGTTTGAAGCAGTTTGCCTAAAAAAAGACCTGAATTGGGTGGTGGAGGTGTAAAACCTTCATAGTAAATGGCCCTTATAAAGAAGGAACAATAACCATTGCTGCTCAGGAGCAGCAGGCAATGAATTGAATTTGCAATGAGGAAATTTGAGGAAAAATAGGAGTGTAAATGAAAAGTACTAATGCGCTGTGAATTGTCAGGAAAGCAGCACATCTGTGGTATTTTTTTTGAGACTGCAAAGTGTAATGATGCTAAATGTTAGGAAAATGTCGAGGCAAAAGATTCAAAAGAGCCATCATAGTTAATGATAGGGGCGTTAAATCCATATCATTTCACTATTTCCATAGTTAAAACAAAGTTTTATCTTATGAATATTAGAAGTTTTTGCCCTCTCCTAAAGTGAGTAGTGGACATACCTCACACACACATTGTGAGCAGAAGTCTGTCTGGTTCGTGAACCTCTGGCCATTCCGATACGAACGTCCATCGTAGTCGCAGTCCAGACACTCTGGGCAGCACTCGCCCGTGGCAGGGTGAGTGCATCGGGCAAGAGGACACGCCTTCTTCTCACAGGACACAGAACCGTCCTGGGTAATAAATCAATGATTGTATTTTCTTAATATGTTCAACAGTGTACCAGACACAAACACGTCATTTTTAAAGTCGGAGGACTTACTGAATTGGGAGTGAAGAAGAAAGGAGGAGGAGGATAAATGAGAGACAGTAAGCCTAAGTAAAGAACACACACATCAGATTATAGATGTTGATGGATGTCATTCCTCACATCAGAGGACTTGAACCTCATGCTGGTGTACAGTGATTCAGTCTGTCACCTTTCAACTATCAGGATGAACCCTATCCGTACGTTGTGTTTTACTATTGTATCCATACGATGTGGGGAACTCCATGCCACCACTTTCCACAGAGGAAATTTACTCATTAATCCGATCCGTACGCTTTGCATAGCAGTCTGTCAAAATGATTTTTTGAGAAATACTGAAAGTTTCAAAGAGATCTTCACACTAGAAGTATTCTAAAATGCGAAGAATACAATCCCAGGGGTATAAAATGACCCCAGGGCGTACGGATAGGGTTAATCAAAATATCTTCACTGAATATATAGGTGACACTCACTGGACTGATTTTACACTTCATTTCCTACAATATGCTGGCTGGCCTGAAACATATGCCCTGGCTATAACCTACAGGAAAATGAGCTGTAAATACAGCCTCAAGACTTCACACACGCAACAATATTTTCAATATATATAAAGTAAGGAAATAGTCATAAATTTCCATTAAATAAGAAAATAAAAAGTTACCCTGTAAGTTGAGATGAGTTTAATAAGAAAGAAAAATCAAATATAAACATACAAATAATCAAAGACAAAAAAAAGAGTTGTTAGTCAGCACAGAAACTCATGCATAAACAAATAAAAGATAAAGAATTATGATTCGGAAAGGAAACACAAACACTAGTAGTAGTAGTAGTATAGGGTTTTACGGCGCTCGCAACTGCTAAGGTCATATGAGCGCGAACACAAACACTGTTCTACACACCCTGCAGTAGCACTCGTTACAGGGTCGCCTAGCATCAGGGAACGTCTGACCATTGCGGTAGCGAACACCATCCAGCAGACAGTTGTCACAGGTCTGACAACACCCGTCCACCACCGGGTTACTGCAGCTGACCTCTGGGCACTGCCGCGGGGTGCAGCGGATATTTCCTCCCCGGCACGTACAGTCCTGCCAGAGAGCAAATTAGAATAAATCATAGTTCTGTCCCCGTTGTTTTAAGCAAGAAAAATTCTGAAATTATGCTAACTGAGCCCAAAAATGTGAAATTAAGCGATTCTGTTAATTTAAACAAAGAATGATACAGGAAATCCAATAAGAAATTATGCAAAAAATGATCAAATTTTGCTAAATTATGCGGGGTGCATAAAACCGCGGGGACAGATAGTTAACCCCTATGAGACAGGTCTTCAAATGAGCATTTGATAAATAATAATAATAATAATAATAATAATAATAATAATAATAATAATAATAATAATAATAATAATGTAGATCATTTCTACAGCGCCCACTCCCGTGTGAACACAGCTCTACGCACTTTACATTACATAAATGCATAAATTCACACACACGCACACACACACACACACACACACACACACACACACACACACACACACACACACACACACACACACACACACAAACACACAAACACATACACACACAAACACACAAACACATACACACACGCACACACATTCACGCACCCATTACACGCACACATGTGTATTGTCAAAGTAGGGTTTTTTTCAACAAATAACAAATGTGGGGATAAAGGCATTCAGAAAATCTTACAGATTTCCGAAAAATATGTGTGCCAATTCTGTGAAAATGAGAAGATAATTAAATACCTTACTGAAGTTTTCACGTTAAAAATAACTTTAATTTTGTTTGGAAATCTGTTCTGCAGTAAATCTATACAGCTGCTTATACAGAAGTGTCTGTTCCAACTAGACAAAGTCCAAACCTTAAACAAATATTGTTTAAAAAATTGACAAAATGCTGGGGAATAGGAAGAAGGAAGTTCAACCAATGGCATATCATCTAGTTATCAAAATGCCAGCACATTTCTAAGATGGGAAGATAACTATTGAGGCCCAAATGGTTTTTAAAAATCCACCTTTCGCACAAAGTTTGAAGTTTCCCTCGGAGTCAAGGCAAAGGTTACCTTTACCTCTTGGTATACACTTCTGTACCATGTCTAGGGAACCAAACGTTCTACTTTTAAAATGACATAATTCTATGTAACAAGGGTATTAACACTTTGTAGTCACACAGCCAGCAGTACAAAATACCCCATCTGGTCACCCAGCCAAGAGAGAGACTGCAACGGACTTCTCGGGCCTGGCGAAGAAGTGCGCCAGGTGACTGGAACGGATAGTTTTCATCTGCACCTTATTGCGCCAAGTGACTGCAAAGTGTTAAACTTGAGCTAAAACAAAAATCAAACAAACAAAAAACAAAATCCTCACCTGACAATTCCTGTCAAATCTTTCTCCGTTGGGGATCACCTGACCCTCGTACAAGCAGCCTCTGCCACACACAGGGCAACATTCTCCAGGCACAGACATGGGATGCGAACACAAACCCGCCCCGGAGCAGTCAACAGCAGAGCAGCGAACGTTTCCACCACTGCACACACATTCCTTGCACCTGTCTGTCGGATGCGGGAAGCGTTGGTTGGAGGAGTACGTACGACTGTTGTAAAAGCAGCCATTACCGCATTCCTTACAGCATCCTCGCTGTACTGGGTGGGAACAGCTGACAGTTGGGCAGGTTCTCCGCTCACACGTCACTTCACCGTAGGCGCATCTGAGCATTAATAAAACATTGTCACCACAGGCGCATCTGAACATTAATGAAACTTTACTTCACAAAAGGCGCATTTCATATGCACTTCTGAACATTAATAAAATGTCACTTAACCGTAGGCACATCTGAACATTAACAAGACTTTGCTTCACCAAAGTAGCATATATTTAACATAATTAAAACATTATGTCACTATAGGTGCAGCTGAACATGAAAATAAAACGTCACTTCACCAACAGTGCATTTGAACACTAATAAAACGTCATTTCACTACAGGCACTAACTTTTAGCTTTTACTTTTTCATCCTTTAGTATAAGCGTCTGATTCCACTACATCGTGACACATATTATCATCTTGATGTTTTACAACTCTGTAACTTATACAAAGACAGTGCAAATCCTTGCAGCTTGAAATAAAAAAAAAAAAGACTTTAATACCTCTTAGAGTATCTTGAGAGTTGAACCATAAAATCAACACCTGCTTGATCCAACTACTCTCCTCCTTTCCTATACTTAACTTTTTAAATCGCATATTCATCGACTTAATAGAGAGAGATTGGTAGTCTAGAGGTATGATTATTACCCCTTGTGAAAGTCTCTGTCTCAAGTCCCAGTTTGTGGTGGTAAAGCAAGATAACTTAAAAGTTTTTTCTTCTAGGTTTTTCACTCTTTTCAGTCAAGGATAGGTGTACAATGATACAAAAAAAACCCAACTCCTTGGTCCAGTGAATACATAGTGCATGATAAAGACACTAGTTTAAAAAAAATACAGAAGGTTTGCTGAGAATGGTGGTTAACACAAAATTGAGATACCAACAGCAAAAAGAAGAACAAAAGCCTAAACACTTTGCCGTTACATCTCACCAATCGGCAAGAACACCAAACTTCCGCTCCCGTCATAAAACACAGATTGGTGATGTTTACCACCCAGTTTCTTTTGATTTTCCAAAAATGCCTTTGATGGCAAGGGTTTTTACCATATGAGCCTTAGAAAGCCCAGACCCCCAAATCCTCACCTGCAAGTCACACAGGGTGTGGCTGGGTCAGAGAAATCTTGCCCGTTCCTGTACTCTCTTCCCTGGTACAAGCAGTCAGTACACTCCTTGCAGCAGCCCCTCTCCACCGGGTGGCGACACTGCCCACCTGACTGACACACTTTGCGACGACACGACATGCTGCCCTGACGACACACACACTCCTCGCAGGGATTGCTCGGGCTGGGTGCATAGGCACCCTCTCTGACCGTACGGCCGTCGAAGAAACAGTTGTTGCATTCCTTGCAGCATCGACCTTGTACTGGGTGAGAGCACAGCGCAGGAGGGCACGACATGGGAGAGCAGACCACATCACCTGGTGGCAATGAAAAAAAAGTTTTGTCAGGGGAAACCACATGTCGAGATTTTCCCTTTTACAAATGAATACGAAATAAGCCAATGACAGAGCAGTACTAGCAATACGGTTTTCAGCCATATGTATCACAATTTCGTACTTTTATACTAACTCCAACTTCTGGGGAGGCTGTTGAAAAATCTCCCCTTTGAGTCCAGATTTATTACAATTAATGCCCATGTTCTATAGATTTTCAGTTCCATTTTGTACTAACCCCATTGTTGCAACTGGAATACAGTGCTTTCAAAATGATTTACAACAGAACTGGGGGGGAGGGGGATTTTGAGATAGTACAAGACAGCTATAAGTTCACGATATAACACTACATAATTGTTAACAACTTGGCTCACCTTTAGAGCAAACACACTCCTGGCAGCTGCTACCGCTCGGGTCTTGGAATCTCTGACCGCTGCGATAGCGCAGGCCTTGGTAGAGACAGTCCACACACTCGTCACAGCACTGCCCGCGCGATGGGTGGCGGCAGCTCACGGCAGGGCATGGGTTACTCTGACACTCCATATTCCCATCCTGGCAGATACAGGTACGGCATCTGAGGAGAAAGAAAAGCCAAGAAAATTACGCATCTTTTTTTTACAAAGTAAAATCAAAAGATATTGCCTTTCTTTTTTCTTTTTTCCCCACTTGCCGCCTTCCTTCCCCTCTCTCCTGACTATTGCTTTGTCATAGTGGAAAAAAACCATGAACTACCAGGTTCAAACCCTTCAACTTCTCTTATAAGCTTATGCATACAATTTGGGCAAGAATACTAATTTAATGCTTCTTGTCCAGGCATCTTTCAAGACAACCTTTGGTTTTTAAATGACCTGAAGAGGGGGAGGAGGAGG